TATTTACTCATTCTAAAACAGAATCCATAGAAATCCTGCATAGAGTAAAGCTATTGCTTAATATTGTTATAGATGTATGTGACAAAGTGGATCAGTATTCATAGTGGGAGACTGTACTGTGAACAGCTACCATATGCTCTCCATAATGATTATATTTTTGTATACATTAGTACGTCTAAATACGCAAAATGTAGAAAGTAGGACAAGCTGTATTTATGTGGGTTGTCTGGTTCCATTTGTATGAATGCATTAACTGATCATGTTAATCCTTTGGTAAAAGCATGGCCAACATAGCTACAACATATACAACCCAACATATACAGCCCATGGCTTTTACCTACATAAATACATATCTGCTGGGTTGTACCTGCTGAAGGTGGTCAGGGGCCTTGTGTTAAATGGTGTTTCTGTCTCCTGTTGGTTAAAACTCCAGATTGATAAAATGTTGCCCAAGCTATATAGAGGTAAACTTAAAGTGACACTAAACTCAGGAGTTAAATCTTAAAAATACATTCAAGTACGTTAACGATTAACAAAACTGTACCTTATTGGTGTATCACTCGGCTGTAGATCCTCAAATCATCTCTGAATTGGTACTGACACTGTACTTCCTTCTGGGGGGTGGCTACTTTTGTTCCCCATGGTCCCTGTGTGTGTTGTGAAGTTGCCATCACTCCAAGCTCACGCCTGTGATTCACTACAATCTCACTATTTGCCAGAGCCGTAGCTAGCAGCATCATGTGATGTCATGCTCCCCGCCTCCAGCATGTTTTTTTTAAATTTATTTATTTTATTTTAATTATTTTTTACTGTTGGGGGGTTTCGGGGGAAATATTAGGGGTCTAAACAGCCAGTTGGAATTTGTCAGCTACCAAGGGGAGTAGTAGGTGAGATGAGGGCTTAGCTGTTAACTTTTGACAAAATGTTGACATTTTTAAATCAGTAAGGACCCTTTCACGCCGGATCCGTTGCGTGCAATCCGTTGTTACATTTTTTAACAGATGCTAACAGAAGGGCACCAAAAAAATAATGGCTGTGAATAAGGCTAGTTCACACCGCTCCATTCTGTTGCGTTATGTTACATTGCGCTGAAAAAAAACTAGAACATGCACTACTTTTTTTTCAGAGCAGCATTACACAACGGATCCAGTGTGAACTAGCCCATTGACACTCATTCATTTTTCGGTGCCCTTCCGTTAGCATCCGTTAAAAAATGTATCACAACACAACGGATCGGAAAGTACAATTGCAATTCAACGCACACTCCTTTGCCTTGCGATTTCCTTCCAATTTTGGTGTGAATGCACCCTAACAGCACTCTTTAGTCTACCTTGGATGTATGTTTTAGTGACATAAGGAATGTATTTAAAACAGCTGAAGGGAGGAAATATGAAAGTACTGCTAAATTTGGTGAATGGCGAATAGAAATGTTCTCTTTAAAAAAATGAATACAGTGTTCAGTAGACACTCACTTCTTATACCCTCAGTGATGCTGACAATTTTTGAGAAACAAACATTTGCAGAACTGACAGAGGACGGAGCCAAGCATAAGACTGGGTGAAGTGATTACTATATATGAACCAATACATATACTTTAGATTCATAATGCAGGCTTTTTCCTGCTCTGCCACCGCATTTGGCAGTGTGATAAAAGTGCGTGCTTAAAAGTGTCTTACATACTGCACTTTGAGCCGGTCTCCTTTTAGTATAACACATTTCACTTCAACATAAATGCGCAGTTACAAATGATTTGCTAAAGACGCGATTTGTCAAATACACGCCGTGATCAAAGCGCTGCAGCTCTGATCAGAAAACATGTTACAGTCTGATATTAATGTGGACACTCGCTGGCACATTAGTATTTTCGGCTCGTGAGTAGTGACAAGTCTTTTGTGTTGGAAAACATCCATGCCTTATATAGAAATGAAAATTGTCATTATAGTTCACGCTTAACAACATGAGCCTGTCCAGGCTATTGCATCAGCTGGATACCGAACAAGACAGGAGAGATAAAACACCAGTTACATCTTTCTGCAGCTAAAACTTCAACATACATCTAAAAATGTGGTATAAATATGTTCTGTATTCAGAGCTAATAGCTGCCGCTTTGATAGTTTGCAACTGGTGAACATGTGTTAACTGTAAAGAGATCCTTTTGAATACGTCTCATCAATCATCAGACAGTAAAGGGCTCTGTTTGTTATTAGCTCAGCTAGTGGTTTTGCGCAAGCCTCCATTGTGTGCAGATGATTCCGCTCCAGAATTTACCTGATCACAGGAGTATTGAAACCCACCTCCAGGGAAATTGAAAGTTATCACTTACAGTGGGGCTGCCCCTGCACTGCAAAGGTTAACTGCTCATTTATGCCTAGGGCACAAGAAAAAGCTGTTTCACTTACCTGATCCCCGCTCACCCAGAAGTCAGCACTCTTCTCCCCCTCCACATTGGCTATGAAATGTTCCCTGGCATTCTCACATGCAATACAGAGCTATGGAGGCTGCATTCTACTGGATGATGTCAGCAATCCTTAGACCGCCAGATTGAAGGGGAGAACAGGCTGCAAGGACTGGTCTAGCATCCTGGAGGGAGCTGGCGGGAGCTGGGGTTCAGGTAACCAAAACAGCTTTTTCCCCCTCTTGTCGCTTACCTCTCTCCCCGATGGGCGGAGATCCTCTCTTCAGCTCTGCTCAGCCTTCTCATCTCAGCTGTCACAGGAGTTCCAGCACAGTACTCGATACAAGTATCAGAGCCAGACCCAAGAGGATACAGTACATGCCTAGTAGCATATCAACCTCTGCTTGTCCTGTTATTTCCTATCTCAAATTACACAAAAAAATAAAATGCCATTTACAGGTGAAAAGAAAAACTATACTCTATTTTCCATAAGTACACATTTCTTTGGCTAACATTGTAACGTCTAATAGCAAGTGATTTTTCACAGGCTTTTCATGATTTACCTGCTTGCTGCTCCATATTGTAACTGCTGTAATTCAGGGAAAGTGACTAGGGATGCACCGATACTTTTCGAGTACCAGTGCCGATACTTGGCATTTTCATGAGAATTACCAGGGTTGCAGGGGTTGCAGCTGGGACCTGGCTCTGGTGCTCCACCCCTGTCCTGAAATCATTAGTCTGTATTGTTTTAAAAAAACTGTCACATGACAATAAACAAAAATGTATCAGTACTCGTACTTGTAAGTACTCGGCAAGTACCAGTACTTGTACTCGCAAAACTGGTATCGGTGCATCCCTTTATTTATGTTTATAAAAACAAAATCGTACATTAAAACAGAGATGTCCAAATCCCAGGAGCTCCGTGTGCTCCTTACAAATCACAGCTGCCTCCTAACTTTTGAATTTTTTTTCTAGTCTAGTCTTGGAGCTCGAAAAGTATCTGTACTTGTACTTGTACCGAGTATGGTACTTGGTATCTGAACATCTCTATATTCTAGTATTACAATTACATCCTTTTTGTATTTGGTTTTTTTTCTTCACGATTTGCTTCCAATGTTCTTAGTTGTTCAAACAGCAAACAGTCAATGTGAGCATTTACCTCTGTACTGTCCCACATTCACGCAAGATGTCGATAAAACAATAACAGAGTAGATGTATTTATTTTACTAGCAAAGAGTTTGTTTTATTGCATGTGGTGATATAACATGTAGAAAAAATAAACATCTGACAATCACAATTAGATGTTTACAAAGATTCTGCATTTTGGAGAGACATAAAAGGAATGACTAGAAATACACTTTTATGAAGAAAGGGAAAACAATCTCAAAATTGAATGAGTAGTAAACACAACGCAGTTGATTTACTAAAAGAATAAAGAATTTTAAGCCAGTCACGTGCAACAATCTTGTTTATTGTTCCTTTGCACATAATGGGGTATTTAAAGAACAGAGCAGAGTATAGGAACAGGTAAAAGATTCAAAGTCGGGTACCAAGGTCAATAACGTCCAAATTGATAACCGAAATCGGGGTCAAGGTCACAGGCCAAGGTCATACACAGAGAAACGGAGTTGCAGGCTAGGTCACAGGAATACAGGAGAAAGCTGAAGACCAGTCCGCAATTAGCTCAGAGTCCATGCTGGTTTAAATAGGCAGACTGGTGCCAACGAACATACATGTACATGTGCATGCCTGTGCATGCGCTTACCAAAGCTAACTCTTGTGTGCATGGGCATTGGTGCCCACCGGTTGGAGTGCAAGAACACCAACTTAAGCACATTTGCCCAATATCTTTTACGCGGAACTGCAAGTAACAGAATGAACACGAGCTTGCACCCATGTAAGTATTCTGGTGAATACCGGTCCATCCTTACACAATTTCAAAAGGCAGTTAGCAATGTCTCACCTCCATATTTCTCTCAGTACATGTTTCCTTTCATATAGATTACAGCACACCATTGCAGTTTGCATTGTTATTGACAGCACAAAGGCTGATTATCTCAGACAATTTATTAAATAAAAGATGGTCAGCTTTAATAAAGAGATACATCAGTGAACTGCTGTTGTAGCTTAGAAAACATTGTGCTTGCATCTGCAAGTCAGCTCAATTCACCTTTACATTTTAAATAACTGTTTTTGGGCAGAATTGCATCCTCTTGTCACGTGATTCATGAACGTTAGCTGTGTGATGGATGCAGCATTCCTTTGTGTTCTAATATACTGTATGTGTGAGTGAGATTTCGGAGACGTGATTGCACTGAGACCATGGTAAACACTGATCAGCACTGTTATAGGCTTAAATACAGAGGCCTTGCAGAGGATAAAGCATACCAGCAACTATAAGGAACTACCAAAGTAGCCAGGTATAGTGGCGGGCCTAAAATTTAACATACTTGACAGATATATTGTAATATGTAGCATTGAGTGCACCTACTAACTAACATATACAGTATCTTACATATTAAGTCTTTCTGGTGTTACATATATATGTAATTGCTCCAGGTGAACTGTAACCACTGAAGCACACTATTTGTTTTTTTTCTCACAGGTGTAAAGGTGCATCACACTATGGCCTTACTAAAGAGCGCAAAAGACGATCACAGGATGGTTCCCCGGACTGCAGCTCTTCATTAGATTTAACCATAGCAGCAGTGTCGCCTGAACTATCAGCTGCCTCCGCAGCTGCAGCCTTAGTGAATGATGAAGCAGGTCAGGACAACCCTGTATATAGCTCACCCACAGGAGACATCCATCTGGGAAGTGGATCTGAAGAACACTTCAGAATAAACCGGAATAGGAGTAAGTCATGATCACCTTTCTTGAGCTTTATTGCTTTTAATATCAATGCTATCACAGTGGCCATGTCCTATTAACATTTATTTACAGTGATATTACTATGGCTTTTAAAAGAGACCTGCTTCGTATAAAAGATGCCTTAAAGGAAATGTAAAGTCTTTGCATCTTTTATACAAAAAGTTTTTCTAGATTTGTACTTAAAATTCATCAGCTTGATGTAAATAATCACAAAAGAGAAAACTTTGGGGGACTTGCACAATGAAAAGGAACAGTAAAGGAAAACCACTGCGTAGTGCTGCAGTTTTTGAAACATTGGAAAACATTGATTCCCAACAGGGTAGGATCCTTTGGGAATCCATGTTTTCCAATGTTTTAAAACCTTGTTCCTATGAAGAATTTGCAATTATATATGCACATGAGAGTAGCCACGTTTGCTCATAGCATTTGCAGGCTCTGCTTCCTCCTTTGCTTCACTACACATTGATAATGCTTTACTGTTCCTTCTCACTATGCAAGTCTATGGGGTTGATTTACTAACCTTATAAACACGCAACAAACAAGTATACACCTCTGTAGTGTGTTCCCTCCCAGCATGATCTATTGGTTGAATCTAGACACCTTTGTAGTGTGTACACACCCAGCAGGTGTGTTGTGCAAAGCCCTGCATGAATTGCAAGGTGATGTTGTGTAAATTAGCTCTACATTGTGTTGCTTGCGTTGATGAATGCAGGAATGTAAATGCATGAGCTAACCATTTTTGTCTAAACTGTGAAGCAGCATTATATATGCATCATGTGCATGATTTTTCCATATATGGCATTAGTGGAAATATGCTTTTAGAGACTTTTTGGTTGATAAATACGTTTTGCTGTGTAAAAATCACACACACCTAGTGCGTGCGTGTGTTTAGGTCAATAAATCACCCCCTATAAGTCAGACTTTCCTGTGTACACACATATCTGATAAAGCTCAGCCCATTGGGATAATGACTCCAACAGTGTTATTCACAAAAGGGGAAGGGTTTGGAGGAGGCAGGAGAAGTGAACAATCTAGGCCAAAATAGCTGATTTGGAACAATTCTCCAATTCAGCTCACTTTCCAGTTCAGCGATGTTGTCCTAGATTGCTCACTTCTCCTGCCTTCTCCAAACTCTTCACCCTTTTGTGAATAACCCTGAAAATATCTCTTCATTGGAAATACACTATTATTTCCCTTTAGAATAAACTATTGTAGCCAGTTTATATCCTTTATTTAAATTGTTTCAAGTGTCATATACTGGAAATATAATGGCAGACATGTAGGATGATACATTCATATACATTCAAGTGGTACAATACAGTATTATGAGAAGGAGAGACTTGTAAATGTTAATAAATATAGATTGCACAGGAAGCTTCGCTTAAAGGATAAGTTCACTTTCCCAAGTGATTTGGCAAAATGGAATTACCTGCTCAAATCTGGCCATCTTGACATCTTCCACAATCTGTTTTGTTATACTTTTAAACGTTATAAGTGTTTTTATTGGTCATCAATTTTAATTGATCTTATATTGTGCAGCCGATAGAAATGTGGATACGTACCCCTACCCCCACCACAACAAATACTAATTATACTAATCAATACCATTCTGGACTAATAATGCTGCACTGAATCTCAGACTTGTTATCAGCCCTGCCTGAGTAGAGAATGAGATGGTCTGTTGTATTAACACACTTTCTGTCCTAGGGTGACAACACTGTTCTTTCATAGAGTGTGGTGAGTGAGCATTGTCACCCTATGACAGGAAGTGTGTTGCTTCCAGGATCACCAGGTGAAAATATAGGGGAAAAAATGCCTACAAAAGTTAGAACTAATGCAGCCATCAGGTCATATGTTACATGTTATCTCTTATTTCCCAAAAATGCATGTCTATTACCTTTTAAAGGGAATCTAATTCCAAGAACAAAAATTTTATAGATTTCCGCTTATCAGTTCCATTAAATGTTCTGGCTGATTTGAGTTTCCTTTATTTGGGCTAAGAACATTTTTTGGTAAATACAGAAAATACCTGTTGGTCTTGCAAGACATCCAGTGTCCTTGTAACTTCTTGTGAACCGAACTGACATTTTCAAACAATGTCAGGTATCTTCTGTAAACTACAAAAGATACCCCCATGTAAAAGAGATGAGGAGAGCGTGAATTGCTTGTAGTCCAAATCAGGAGAACAGCCTAGGGTCACAACCATGGCTCTTCCATAGATGCAGTACATTGAGTGAGCATTGTCATTCTAGGGGAGGAAGCATGTTAATGGCAGGATTGCCAAGATAAAATGACAGGAGAAGAAGCCTGAAAAAAGCAAACAAATTCAGCCTCCTCTTCCAAGGCCTGCTAACAATTATGTGACAATAGCCTCCCATGCATATGCTCTGGGTGAAATGTATTATCACAGTTTACTATGCCAGCTGCTTCAGAGAGTGTTAGCTGGGGGGCCCATCAAATTTTGTAATGAGATCCCGTGATTCGTCCCATGACTAGTAAGCTGCAGCATATTACATACATACAGTTTTTTAACATGCATATTTTTCTAGGGTCTGACTGTACTGAATTTTAGTTTGGAATGTTCCAAACCTTTTCCAGCACCTTTAATTACATGCCATCCTTTTTTTTTCTTGCAGGTCGTAACTTTGAACGTTCCACAGTCAGGAGTCTGTCATTTAAAAAGCTGAACCGAGCACTCAGTGTCCTTCGAAGAACAAAGAGTGGAAGTGCCGTCTTACACTCCGCAGAGAGAGAGCGAGTCAGCCTGCAAAATGCAAATATCACAGAAGAAGATTGTATAGGTCTGAACCATTTTACACTTCACAGTCTTGTTACTGAGAGGGCCCATTTACACGTGTGTTTTTGCCAATGTTAGCCTGTGTTAAATTAAAGCAGTCCATTAATTTTAAATGGACTGCCAACACATCACAACAGTCAAAACAATGCATGACCTTTTTTTCAAATACAGCACACCTCAGCACGTTGTATGCACATTGTGGTGTGCTGCAGTGTGTCATGTATTGCACTGTTCTGTACAGTCAGTGCATTGGGGTGTCATTCAAAATCAATGGCACTACATTGCATCACACATAGTACTAGGGTTGCCACCTTTTCTTCAAGCAAAACCCGAACACTCTAGCGACGCGCTGACAATTTTTTGGGAGAATGAGTCGTGGCTTATTAATATGTAAATATAACAGTTGAGACTATTTTCAGTGGGGGGCCAGTAGCCCCCATCTTAATTTTAGTTGCCCCTGTCTGCCTGACATCTTGTGCCTGGGTTTCTGCTGTCATGAAACCCAGACAAAGCATTCAAAACCCGGACTGTCCGGGTGAATCCTGGACAGGTGGCAGCCCTACATAGTACAGGTATTCTGGTATGTGAGTGTGAATTCCTCAATTTACCCTAGGAAGAGGACGCTTTTTTAGGGCACATTTATACCATGAAGTGTAGTGTGAGGATGTGCTCACTAAATGAAAAAAGCTGATTCTGGCATGCTGACTCTATTTCACTATACAATTATACAGAACCAGCATTGGCCATTGAACCAGTCCAGCCATTTTCTGCTGACCTTTCTCATTAACAAGGTGATTCCATCCAAAGAACTGCCACTCATTTGTTTGTTTTCTTTGTTTTTTTGCACCATTCTGAGCAAACTCTAGATCAGTGGTTCTCAACCTGTGTAACCTCAGGACCCACATTTGTCCTTGGTCATTATGTTGCTTCTTCGCAAGAGTCGCACTGCAATTAAAGGCATGGGTTTTGCACTACCACGCATTCTGGTGCAGGTTACCACACCAGAACGCACAGTAGGTGCGATTGCATGGTGCAGTGCATTAATCGCATGAGACTGTGTGATTAACGCACTGTACTAGTGGGAACTGGCCCTCAAAAACACTGACAGACACACACAACTACAGACACATTCTCACACACACTCCAAAATCATTGAATTATGTTTTCTTTTTTTTTTAAATCCACCCAGTCTCCCTAATTTACGAGAATTTGAGTGGATCCTCAGTCTGGGGTCCAGTGTGGGCTGCTGTGCTGTGACGGAGCTCTATCCATATGTGCATTGCTTGTACAGCTCCCTTGCATGTCCTGTAGAGGTCTCGGGAGCCAGAATGTGACGTCACTATGGTCTAGGCACCTCTACAGGACATGCGAGGGAGCTCTAAGCAATGCATATATGGATGGAGCTCCCTTGCGGCCATACCACCAGCCCCCCCACCTCAAGCTAATATTTTGAATGCTGTTTTGTGCAAGAACTGACTGTGTTGTGCTAGGAAGAGGCTGAGGAGCCTCTCACCTAGAAAAGTAATAGGCACACAGCGACCCACCAGTTGAGAACCAAGGCTCTCAAGATAATGTTGTGCATGGAAATCCCATGAGATAAGCTCCTGGCCTGTATCTGTATGATAATATGCATTGCCCTGCTGACACTAGATTCGATGATTAGTTAATTGCATGAATAAGCAGATGTACTGGTATTCCTAATAAATTGCCTGTTGAGTGTTATTATAGTTTTCACATGTATTGTACTATTTACAATGTAAAACCACAATCCTGTGTAAAATCAAAAGTGGTTAAGGCAGCATACCCCTTTCAGGCTAAAGATACATGGCAACCGCACAATTCATAACTCGCCTTGGTAGCAAGGTGCACATGGAAGGGCTTACAACAGTACAAAATAAAGAAATTTCCCAGCACACTCACCAGCTAGACTGCAACAAAACACAAATTTGCCCTTGCATATATACGCGTTAAAAACAGAGGTCTTAGTTGCACAACTTTTTGCTAAAAATATGTGGAAGCCACACTGCCTCGTGAAAGCTCTTCTGTGTAGTGTGTTCCTAGCTAATTTTTGTCAGTCTCCATATTGGAGCATATTTAAGCAGTTGATAAATTGAATGCAGGTATGCAGTGAAGTCACACTGGGGGCCACAGCGTACATTCTGGATTGCTGAGCCTCCAGTGTGTCCCTGTATCTTTAAGGAGGAGTGGGCTTCCTCCAGGCATACCTGCATTCAATTTATCAACTGCTTAAATATGCTCCAATATGGAGGCTCACAAAAATTAGAGTTAGGACTACACTAGACAGAGGAGCTTTGACAAGACATTGCGGCTTCCACATATTTTTTGCAAAAAGTTGTGCAACTAAAACCTGTTTTTAACGTATATTGTTAGACAGGCAAATGTGTATTGTTGCAGACTAGCTGGTAAGTGTGCTGGGAAATTACTGTGTTTTGTAGCATACCCCTTTCAACCTCGGCACGCCGTTATATCAATAGCCATAGTTTTTCAAAATGCAACAGAAACTGCAGTAAATTCGTTATGGTAATAATTTATGTTATCGAAGGGGCTATACTACTTTTATTTGCAGCAACATCAGTAATGCAACAATGCAGATTAGAAGGTAAAAAAAGCTATCTGGAGTAATGTCGATTTATGTAGTTTGGGTGTTGAACCAATTGTATAAAAATTCAAGCAGATACCATTTCATTCCTTCAAATTAATTTTCACTCTGCAAATATGTGCAAGAAAAATTGCATTCATTTGATTGTGTATGTGGAACTGCAGTGGTTGCCTGTATGTGTAAAAGATATAGTAAAATTAATGTAACAAAATTGATGACAGAAAATGTTTCTGACTTAACATTGTCTTATCCTTATATCCCCCAGTGCTGCCAAATCTGTCGCACCTTATTCCTGATGGAGAGATAACCTGTATTAAGATCAATCGCTCTGATTCCAATGAATGTCTTGGAATTAGAATTGTGGGTGGAAATGAAACCCCTCTGACCCAAATCATCATACAACATATCTATCAGGATGGGGTCATTGCACGAGATGGGAGGCTCCTTCCTGGAGACATGATCTTAAAGGTAAGTTTGCTCTTGTACCTCATGTTGAGACAAAGCACTGGTTGAAATTCCATGGTGTCTTAGTTTTTTTGAAGGCTTCTTTATTAGTTCCTACATTATTCAGAATATTAATCAAGCTCTATAGGCCACATCTTCTAGTTGCATGTGGTGAACTGGTCACATCACCGTCCACCGACCGCAGTCGGCCAAGATTGACGCGTTTCAGGGGCAAGCCCCCTTCCTCAGAATCACACCTATGGATGTAGCTTCCAGTGTCTCTAGAATGTTTTAGGAGATAGGTCTCTAATATTTGCATTATTTTTGTTTGGCTGTTCTCTGAAAACAAAAAAAAAATCCTTATTATTTGTAAATAGTAAAATACTTTTGACTCAAATACAATAAAGGTCAGAACATCCTTCAAAAGTCATTTCTGTATGCTCCAAGCCCCATAATCATATTTTTCCAATTTTAAAACCATAACTGGATTATTGCTTTGAATGTAAAAGATCTAATCCCCCTTAGAATTCTAGACTACCATCCAGATTACCCTTATTTTTGTTGTCCACAGCTAGAAGAGCATGCTCCTTTAAAAAAAATTCAGCACTGCTAACATTTCCATTTACCCACTTCTGCCTACATAAAACATATATAAAATTACATACAGTTACATAAAATAGGTTTCTCATACAGTAACAGTCACCTCCAACTGACTGCAAGTCAACTCTACTTTCTTCTTCTGAGTACGTTCAACTTTCTTCTTTCCCAATGTTTCTAGTGAAAAAATATTTAAATATAACAATTTGCCACTGTACTATGATCAACATAGATGTTTGTACACTAATTTGTATATATCGATGTAGGAACTGATATTTAATTTAGCCTGGTTACAGGTATGTTGAATGACGTGCTGACTCACTTGAATCCCACTTGAATACCTGGTATTACCTTACTCCATTACAAAGCCAAAGATGGTGCCATGCTGCCCGCATGGATTCTCAGTAATATAAAGCAAATTAAATATTGGGGAACCCATTAGCAAGAGAATGACTCCGTCATTATGGCTTTGTAGAAGCAGGTAGACATAAACTACTGTAGGAAAGTCTTTCCATTGCAGCGTGTAAAAGATATGAAAAGATGTGAAAAGCTGAAAGGGAATCAAAATACCAAATTTCATCCAATTACAAAGCCAAAGATGGTGTCATGCTGCCATGATTCTCATGATTCTCAGAAATAATTAAACTATTGTGGAACACAGTGGCAAGAGAGTAACCCCATTGTTATGGCCTTGTAGTAGGAGGTGCAGACATAAACTGCTGTAAGGAAGTATTCCCATTGGGAATAGTATGGTGTTTGTGTGTCATGGCAGCAGCGATTTAGCATGTACCATCAAGTGGTGTACAACAATACATATTGTTAGATAATATTTTCTATTGCCATGTCTCTCCTTTTCAAGCCCCCTGCATTGTTTAGCTTGTGGAAGTACTTTTGTGGCCATCTGGGTGGATCAGAAAGAATACAAGTTTGTATGAAGTCAGTGTGTGCTTTACACATAGGATCAATACAAATGCTAGCTTTATTTATGCTGGTTCTAGCTCCAGGCACTCAACCCTGCAAAATGCCTTTCTCAACATCCCTCTCTGATCTCAAGATCTGTTGATGCCTTTAATGTTTCTTCAACAACGTATACTGAGGACAAGGCTTAGGTATCACGCAGCTGCACAGCTGCCGGTTGACTACATACCCCAGCATTCCCTGACATCTCTTTTTTATCATCATAGAGGAGAAATAAGACTATATTATTTATTTTTCGTTCTGTATATACACCATATACATGCTTGTATTGGAGAACTCTTTTACTTTCCCAAATAACTGCAGTGATTTTAGTATTGCATGTATTTTATAGAAATAGAGTTTAAGAAATAAAAAAAAAAAGCAGGACTTGTAAAATGAATAGTAAAACAAATATATAATTAGCTGTTCTCCTTACTTTCTCTGTGAGCAGCTATTGTACAGAAGCACCTTAACAAGCTACGTAGGTATGTTGTTAGTCAAGTGTACAGCACAGCTTACACTGAGTCGGAGAAGGGGGAGTGCCCATTGCATCATGGGAGCTGGGGGTTTTTTTTCTGCTTCAGTCCAAAAGCTGTGGCATGTTGAGGTGTGATAGTAAACATGTTAACTGGATGGTGATGGCCATCTCAGAACTGAAATTACCCCCTCCTAGTGAGCTGAGGTTATCGGACAATATGGGCAGAGCACAGGTTTACATTAAGAAAGAGAGAATTTCCTTTTGCAAGATTTTTTGGCTCTTTTTATCCATTGTGAAGGTATACCTAGGTATGGCACTAAGAGGAGCAAGGTTTCATTTTAGATGTGTTGCTGGTCCCATTGACGTATCTAAGAAGTATGTTTGTGCCTATGAGGTTTACATTTCTGTTATCTTGACTCTCTGCATGCCAATGGTTATCCACTTTAAAGGTTATCCCTTTAGTAGGCCAGAAAAAAACCTGATGAATCACCCTCCTGAAAATACTTAGCACTTATTCACACCAGCCTGTATACCAAAAAGAGCCTGTTTAGCGTGCGGGCTGGTGTCTGTCTTGTTCAGGCGGTGGGGGAGGGGTCTGTCTTACCTTTTTCCAACAGGCACTTTTTACCCTTTTTCTTACCTTTATTGAAATATCACAAAGTGGCATTTCATTAATTTCTATGCACTACAGCTGAGATGCATTTTGTATAGCTGGATTAAGAGTTCAGGTGAGCGCTGGTACAGAAAAATGCAGCATGCTCCACATAGCCCCAATCGTTTGTGGTGTGAGCAGGGCATATAGAAATCAAGCATTGCAGTGGCCAGTGCAGAAAGACGCAGGTCACCACACATGATTTGAACGAGCCCTCAGGTTATATTTTGATTGGGGAGAATTCTTTTCACCTCCTGTCCTAGAGACGCAACCGGAAATAAAAGGGAAACCTCTCCAACTTGAGCCAAATTCACATCTTAGCGCGTTTTCATGGGAACAGGTGCCCCAGCTTTCATCTCTTGCTCTGGTGACAACCCAAAACTTTTGGATTTTCTTTCACTTTCTGTCTCAGTACCAATGGTCTCCGAGACAAATAGCAGGAAGAATCTACCCAATAGGGACAGCAATAAAAACTGATAGAGGTTCTGACACTTCACTATTCTATCCAAAGCCAAACCAATGCATTTCCATAAACTTTAACATGAAAGCCTAACTTCAGGCCATTTTCTTTCGTAGTGGATGGAGTGGGGAAAAGTGATCATTTATGTCAGTTTGTTTTGTCTGTGACCCCCATTGGGGAGATTTCCCCTTACTTCCTGTCTCTGCAACACCAGGTTCTAGCTCTTCCTCTCTCTACTAGAAATATGTTTTTGTCTGTTGCTCCTTGTTGGAGAGACTAATCCCCAGTATGGACACATGGCAATAAAATCCTGACTGAGGCTGTAACCCTTTCCCTGCTCTATCCCAAACAAAATAGAAAGTTGTGGCTGGAGTTAGGATTTAAACTGAATGTAAACTCCACAATTGAACTTCTCTTCTTTGCTCCACGTTCTGTTTAATATATAAATATAAGTGCTTTATTAAATCTGTTCGATAAGTACAAAGAAATACCACTAATCCTCTGTCTCTGTTGCACTCTTATCAGTTATCATTGTCCCCAACTATCTCCACAAACAGAACACCTCCCCTTATGTCTGTGAAGGTTCTCATTCATTCAGGTCATGGTAAATCTGTAAAAAATAAATCAAGGCAAATGGACATGCTGTATATTTTTAAGATGTTTCGCTGGTCATCTGACCAGCTTTCTTAATTCTGAATTGAGAAAGATAGTCGGATGACCAGCGACACATCTTCAAGAAAAATACAGCAAGTCCGTTTGTCTTGATTTTTTTTTTTTACAGACCTCCGCTATGTTCTGGAGGGTGTTCTGTAGTTCCAATACACTTCCTGTTGTAGGGTGACAACACTGCTTCTCCATAGATACGGTACAGTGAGTGAGCGTTGTCATACTAGGACAGGATGTGTGTCACTGGCAGGGTCACTAGGTGAACATAAAGGATAAAAAGACAGAAAATAGAAAATGAATGCAGCTACCACATCGAAGAACTGGGTACTTTTGTTCTTGGATTACATTATAAGACTAATATACCGTATTTGCCGGCGTATAAGACGGGTTTTTAGACCCAAAAACATCGCCCGAAAATCGGGGGTCGTCTTATACGCCGGGTATACGGTATGTACTATGTAGCTTCGGCTTTGTATACAGCTACATACAGTATACAAAGCCTGTATTAATTAATACAAAGCCTGCCGTGATTGGCTCAGCGTGGTATACTGTATGTAGCTGAAGGACTGAACCCGGAAGATGGAGGACACTGCGGGGATCGTGGACAAGGTAAGAGACTATAATACCGACTGTGGCTCGGGGTTACCGCTTATGGTACTGAAAATTAACCCCGAGCCACACTCAGGAATATCGCCATGGAGGTTAGTGGTTGCATTTAAACATTATTTTGGGCTATACTCGTCTTATACGACGAGTATAGCCCAAAACCTATATTTTAACACAAAAAGTGGGGGGTCTTCTTATATGCCGAGTCGTCTTATACGCCGGCAAATAAGGTAATATTGCTGTTGATATCTCTCCCTTGTTGGAAACGAATGTCTCCTTTACTACTGTTGGTGCTCCTGTTCATTTTAGTTACACTTAGTATTGCTTATGAAATAATTCAATACTTATGTTACCACTACAGAACATACATTTGAATGTGAGCAATCCACATTTTTATATAAACATTCCAAACAAAAGCCTGGCACGCAGCCTTTCTACTTGGCAAAAGACATTTACCTCACTAAAGGAGCAAATACGGTTCATTTGGGTATCCGGAATATGTCATATTTGATAATATTTCATCATTTATTCCATGGAACCTTAAGCCGTATTAAACCTTCTTCTAATCCTTCTAGTATGCAAGGCATGAGTGGCTTTGTATCTTTACCATCTTTGCTGACTGCTCAGATTTTCTGTGATACAGTCATCTGAGAAATGAGAAGGATTTGGCTCATATCAAAGTTAAATATATGTGGAAAGTATGGTGGTGTGGGGGCAGGTGAGTTAAAAGTTGATGTGCTTTTTAACTGGTTAATGTCAAGAAGAGTGACCATCACTAATAAGCACATCAAAGCTAGAAGTGATCCAATGGAAGGGCGTGCCTCTAGAGGAGAACGGGGGCAGGGGCAAAGTTGAAGGTTAATAACGCTACTGGTTCTTCCCCATTCTTTTCTTTTGCTGACAGCTTTGACAGCCTATGTGAGGGTTGGGTGAGGCGGGGAATTAATGTTGTAATGTTTATTTGAGAAATATTGCATTTTCTGATTTGGATACATATGTTAAAAGCTGGAATTAAAATATGTTATATCTTTTGGAAACCAATAAAAACTTTGAAACACTAATAAGCACATCAATATAGTTGTGTGGAAAATTCTTGATATACTACATATATAAAAGTAAAGTAATGAATTTCAGCAGGTGTTATAACTAAGTGGAATTTACAATGTATAAAATACAAAAAAAAAACAAATGCAACATCAAGAGAAAAGTCCAGACCATTATTTAATGGAGTGATTTTATTAGCTTAGTGCAACAAAGCTGAACTGGAGACTGGAATGATGATGTTTCATTATGCTGAAAATGTTGGGCAAAGCAACAACTTTTTCTTTAATGTGGACTTTCCCTGACACATATACTGCACTTAAAGTGACACTAATCTCCAGAGTAAAATCTTAAAAATGCATTCAAGTACCTTAACTATTAACAAAACTCGGCTGTAGATCCTCAAAATCATCTCTGAATTGGTGCTGACACTGTCCTTCCTTCTGGAGGGCTGCTACTTCTGTTCCCCATGGTCCCTGTGTATGTTGTAAAGTAGCCACCACTCCAAGCTCACTCTCATGATGGACTACGTTCCCACGTTTAGTTTAGTAATTTGCATTGAAGTTAATGTCTATCATAGGAGTCAGCTTGGAGCGGTGGCTACTTTACAACACACACAGGAACCATGGGGAACAAAAGTAACCACCCTCCAGAAAGAAGGACAGTGTCACCACAAATTCAGAGATGATTTGAGGATCTACAGCTGAGTGATACACAAATAAGGTCCAGTATTGTTAATAGCTAAGGTACTTCAATGCATTTTTAAGATTTAATGCCTTAGTTTAATGTCACTTTAAATGTAGATCTCCACAGCTACATATACAGTAAACTCCCACTTATCCAGCATCCACAGGGATCGGTAGGTGCTGAATAACTGTAGTTTCTGGTTGCTGGAGAGTTAATAGCAACTAGCTTCCACAGGTCTATGGAAGAAGCTGGAAGCAATAGCCAGCCTGCTATTGGCTATTGAAATTTGAAATAGCCAATAGCAGGCTAGCTATTGAAACCCCGCCCACTGAGCAGAGGAGCAGACCTGAGAGAGAAAGTTCTTTCTCAGATCCACTCCTCTGCTCAGTGGGTGGGTACAAAAGCCAGCCTGCTATTGCAATTTGAAATAGACAATAGCAGGCTGACTATTGCTCCCCTTTGTTTATATTCTGTTGCCGACCAGCAGCAAGAAGTAAACTGAGAATTCCCTTAGCAACTATAGTCTCCCAATGTCTATCAAGAAAAAAATAAAATAAATCAAGGACATATTATTATTGGGGCAACAGAACTGCCAGCAAAACTACAAGCCACTCATTTTCAGACACTGGAGATCGCAATATTCACTGCTTTTAGCTGGGTCTCTCTTCAAAATGGCGCCAAACTCTTGCACATGTCCCTTCTTGTTAACTGACCCCACACAGCAAAATTTGAAAGTTAAAAAAAAGGGTTTCCTTCTGCCCACCTTGAAAACACCAAACACAGCTGATTTGGAATGCAGGCCAATACTTTTAGGTTCACAGGCCTCAAAGACAGCAAAACCATTAGAATGCCTTAACAAACTACTGTTTCCTAAATATAAACTCTGACAGTAGAAGTCAGAGACAAGAAAGTCTGCAAAGACTTTTCTGTCTTTCTATATTACCCTTTTGCAGTTGAAATGACAAAACTATCAATAAATGCTGCAGTTCGTATCTTTTTGTCATGTTGTGTTAAAGTGACAAGTCCAAACAATTCTGCTCTGCAATCATCCTTAGCAATTCTTGTTTTCCTTTACAGTATATAAAGCCCTTCTTATGCCTTGCATCCACTTATAATTCTTCTTAGTTGAAAAGCTCCTTCTTGAATCTGTATACACTTAAGCTGGGAGTTAGGCCAGCAGTCAGTAGTGGCTGGAAAAAATAGCTCTGTTACAAAGGTCTTTAATAACCTATATTAATGTGCTACATTAATTCTTCTGCCAATCTTGTGTTTTGTAGGTCAATGGCATCGACATCAGCAATGTACCTCACGCTTATGCACTTTCCACCCTCAGACAGCCCTGCCAGGTGTTGAAGCTCACAGTTCTCAGGGAGCAAAGATACAAATGTAGGAGCAATGGCATCAGTACAGAGCCACATACCCCCAGGGATGACAGCATCCATGTTGTGCTGAGCAAAAGCAGTCAAGACGTGCAGCTCGGAATAAAGCTGGTCCGCAAAAGGGATGAGCCAGGAATATTTATTTTTAACCTGCTGGAAGGAGGCGTAGCTGCTCGAGATGGTTACCTGCAGGAGAATGATCGAGTTCTAGCTATCAATGGTCATGATGTGCGTAATGGGACACCAGAGATTGCAGCCCAGCTAATACAGGTTAGTGAGACTCCCATTGTCTGATTACAATTTATCAAACTGGTTCATGAAAGTGATTTGAAAGAAAAAAACTTGCTTACCAAGGAATCTTTGTGAGCAATAACGTAAGGTAGAGTATGTTTTATAAAAGGTATGATATGTTGTTCTTGCTAACTAGGACACCAACAGATCTTACACCTAAATACATATTAAGCTGGGATGGATAGATTCTTTAGATTCCTCCATCCACACTAGCAGTGTGGATGGACGAATATCCCGGTGGGTTCTTTGTACTCTAACAGTGGTGCCTGCTGCAGCAGAATACCTGTTCTTTTGTTTGATTGGCTGCAAGTGCCGATTGCCTAACAATTTTCCAACATGTCCCTTCAACAAAAGACAATATAATGGTCAACTTTAGCCAAGGAGATAGGGCTACCCACAAATCGACCAAATTTAAATCCATGTGTACCCAGGTTTAGTTGTGGGCTGCGCAGATATAGTTGATTCCAACACCAATAAAGGTTTATCAGGAGTGCCATACTTTTAACAGGATACTGTTAGTCAGCATTTAAAATAAACTAAGGTGACCCTGCCAACAAAGGGTCACTTGTATCCAACAGCATTCCTGTAAAACAAGTGAATATATTTGCCTTTCTGGTGGTCCAATTGTTGAAATGCTGCCATGCTGCACTTATTCCACACTTACAGGTGTGTGGAATACTTGCTCTCCTGATAAATGTTGTGGTTTCTCTTGCCTACTCATAACATCACTACAGGTTTTCGACCAACCTGAAGGTTGAATACTTGCAGAAACCAGAGAGAAGCATGTTTCAACACATAGGCTGCCGAAAAGTAAGTATATTTACTCTTTTTTTTTACAGGTATTATTTTGGATACAAGTGACCCTAAGCCGACGGTGTCACTTAAGCCCACCCTTCTTTGCTTGTAATTTGTGTATCTGGGTAATAATTAGACATTCTATGTTGTACTAAAGAGAACAAATATCTGACTTTGAGATGAAGTTAATTTTCTACATGGAATGTTTTGATCCATACTGCAAATACAGGCCCAAACCCATTATTTCCATAACAGTTAAGGTTACTATATAATCTACTATATAATCATAATTTGTGCATGAAAGATGGGACAGGCAAAAAAAAACAACTTATGATGGCCAGTTTGTTTGGCAATAACCAAATGTAATCTAATAAGCACCAATATTTTAGTGTATATATAGCTACCTGATCCGGGACTCATTTTTTAATTTGAAAAAAGGAGCCCTGCTAAATGCATTGTACAGTATATTCTGATTGCCTGTGCAAAGAAATAAATGTATTTTTTTAGTAACTGCACTGGGAGTATAAAAGCATGCAATATATTTGGTTGCTTTGATCAGTGCTCTTTTATTTGGGAATACTGTTAATACTAGAGGTCAGAAGAAGTCAAATGATTCACCTTGTGATTTAGAGCCCCCAGTCAAACAAGGTTCTTCTTTTTAGGATTAGAGATTCCTATATATATATGAATTTGCATTGGAGATATCTGTTAGGGTTCCCAAAATAACAAAAAAAACTGAAACTTTTAGAATCAGCACCACTTAGATTAAAGTATAGACAATCAAGGCATATAAGCCTTACATATTCATGGAATGATCTGTTTATTGACTCCATATTTCAGTATGTAATAATGATTTGTTTTTCTACTCACGTTAACATTGCTGTAGCTACATATGTAGCCATTTTGGAATATTCTTGAGTATATGGAGCATGCAGTATAAAATAATGCATGCTGGTATATGAAGTGGAAGAACAAAGCCCCCATTTTATCATTGTCCTAAATTTCAGATGCAATATTGTTAATGCATTACAGATCTCTAATATTACCCCCCTCATTGTCTGCAAAATCTGCATTGAATTATTTCATTTGTAATGTAACATCTGCTCATCTCTTCAGTTATATCTCATAGTCTTTTTTTATGTCAGATTATGATTTTGTGGTATTTGGCAAGATTGGAATGACCCTCATGCAGTCTCTTGAGAATCTCACAATAATGAGTCAGTGTGTATGTGTGTAAATGTGAGTGTTTTCTTTTGTCTCTGGTTGTGTCTGGATTGCAGTTCTTCCCATGCTCTGCTGCTTGTGTGTCATATTGGTTGGATTTAAGTGTTTAAATTGTGCATAGAGATTAGTGGATCACTCACCTCAGTCTTATACTCTAAGCAGGATAGTGTGAAGGAGTAAAATTACTTCTTTGGAAGTAATACATGGTGTTCATTATGTCATAGTGCTCTGTTCTGACATTCATTATGGCTTTTTAGGTATACTGAACCATCACCATGACTGTAGCCTCAGTTTTACTTTTCACTTGAGCAGATCACCGAGCTTAAAGTGACACTAAACTCAGGAATTAAATCTCAAAAATGTATTCAAGTACCTTAACTATTAAAAATGTATCTTATTTGTGTATCACTCAGTTCTAGAGCGTCAAATCATCTCTGAATTCATGCTGACACTCTTTTCGTCTGGAGGGTGGCTACTTCTGTTCCCCATGGTCCTTGTGTGTGTTCTAAAGTAGCCACCGCTCCAAGCTTGCTCCCGTGATGGACTTCAATCTCAATACAAATCATTAAACTAAACGTGAGATTGTAGTCCATCGTGGGAGTGAGCTTGGAGCGGTGGCTGAGCTAGGAGCACCAATTCAGAGATGATTTGAGGATTTACCTAGTTACATAGTTACATAGTATTTGAGGTTGAATAAAGACACAGGTCCATCAAGTTCAACCTTGTGTGTCTGTGTATGATTGTGCATGTGTGTGTGTGCATGTGTGTGTGTGATCTAGTTTTTAAGAGTACCTGTACCCCTGTATGTTATAGTCTCTGAGGAAGGTATATAAATGCTTTTTGAATGATTCAATACTCTCTGCTGATACCACTGCTTGTGGCACAGAGTTCCAAAATGTAACAGCTCTAACTGAAAAGAAGCCCCTACGCCCCTTGTGGTTAAATCTTTTCTCCACCAATTTTAGGTGGTGGCCTCTAGTCTTTGTTATGGAGTTTACTGTAAAAAGTTTGTTGCTGATGTTGCCATCACCACCAAACATTTTGTACATCAGCAGCCTTGTCTCATAGCTTTGGTCCTCCAGCCCCTTAATTAGTTTAGTTGCCCTTGTCTGGACTCTCTCTAGCTCAAGGACTTCCTTTCTGTGGATAGGTGACCAAAACTGAACCGCATACTCCAGATGAGGCCGAATCAGTGATCTATAAAGTGGCAAAAATATTGCTTCATCTCTACAGAACATTCCCTTTTCACTACATGACAGTACTCTGCTAGCTGTGTTTGCTGCGGCCTGCATTGCATGCTGTTATTCAATCTCTGGTCTACTATGACCTGGAAATCTTTTTCCATTTCTGACTTCCATAGTGGAGTACCCCTTAATGTGTATTCCGCTTTCCTGTTTTTAACCCCAAAATGCATTACTTTTAAATTTTTCAACATTAAACCTCATCTGCGATATAGTTGCCCACTCCCCTATTTTATCCAGGTCCTCCTGTAATGTTATAATGTCTAAGTTTGTGTCTATTACCCTCCCAATTTTAGCATCATCAGTAAACACAGTAACATGGCTATTAACAGTAAGCAGTATGGGGCCTAGCACAGAACCCAGGGGCACTCCACTCTCGACCTTAGACCAACCTGAAACAGAGCTATTTATCGATACTCTCTGGACACATTCCTGTAGCCAGTTCTCTATCCATGTACTCACCATTTCATCAATGCCTATAGATTTCAGCTTGTGTATTAAGCGTTTATGTGGTACCGTGTCAAATGCAGCCGAGTAATACACAAATAAAGTCCATAATAGAAGTCACCAGCACTCGATGATGTGTGCAAGAAGTAAAGCACACATATCGGGGCCACGCAGGGTCCCTTCTTCTGGGTAGGATCACTATGTCACCCAGAAGAAGGGACCCTGCGTGGGCCCGAAACGTAGGCTGTATGACGCATGTGACCATTTAATAAAAAGTGCTTTATTTCCTCCACACAGCATCGAGTGCTGGTGACTTCTATTATGGATTGTAACTGACATCCGTGTTGTCACTTCAAGCACCAATCTTTCATCCAAGGTCTGTACGCTGTATGGAGTGCATGTGATCTCGTATTATCTAATACACAAATAAGATACATTTTTGTTAAAAGTTAATTTACTTGAATGCATTTTTAAGATTTAACTCCTGAGTTCAGTGTCACTTTAAGCATGTCTCTGTAAGACAATTGGTAGAGAAGATATCAATGACTTTGTCAGTGGAAGTTCCCAGAGCAAAACAGAGCCAGAGAGTTTGGAAGACCAGAGTTGTAGACAGGTATTTTTTAAATATTTTTTCTATAATTTTTTATATGAAATCCAAATAAAGTACTGATTACATCCACCAAGTTAATACTAAGCATTTGTTGTCATGTTCTTCGGTTCCTGTTGTTCCACATGTGTTGCATGTGTAATTGTTGCAAAGCAGTGATTTAAGTCATTCCAATGGGATGTCAGAACGCCAAGGGTAATTTGAAGACATAAAAAATATTCTGTCAAACACAGCTCTCGGTTTCATGGAATTGATCTGGTGACCCAAAGATACTGGATGATCAGTTAAGTCGTTGACATAGCTGACTTTCATAACATAGGTAGTCTCTATTTCTGAAGTATGGCTTCATTTGAACAGCTGTGTCTCTTTCTATTTATATATATATATTTACTGTTATCCTGGCTTTAGGATCCAGACTTCTTGTTTAATAAGAGGCATTTAAAACTTTAACTCTGCCAAGTATAGGAGAGAAATGAAAGCTGGAAAATCATTGGGATCTGGTCTTCTGACATTTACTCAGCTATGCAATTATAAAATTCCTATTCTCATGAAAGCTGTCCGGGCAGCGACATAAAGCAGGCCCAGTGGGGCTCTCTTGTAATATCTATCACTGCCATCACAGCCATTCATTCTGCTTACCATTGACTCCAGCAGTCTCTGACAAG